TGACTCATTATTCGATAATATAATAATAATTCAAATATTCGAGCGCCGTGAGAGCGCCGGAAGAAATTTCCTACGATCGGAAAAAATCGTGGAAATTGACGGATCTCTTCCTGAGGGTTCAAAGTCTAGAACCGCAGTCCTAAAAACCCTATTAGATAACGATCGTGTTATCGTTGCGCGATAAAAAAATGGCATGACGTGAGAAAGTCGGCGGTGCTATTGCGTTCGCGATTGCGGCGCCGAGCGACCTAAGTGGCGGCGTTTAGAGCCGGTCGCGGTTCATAAGCAGCTGACATTAATTACGAGGCGCCAGATGTGAATGGCCGCCTTGTTCCGAGGTGGTACTCTGCTTTCTTCCTATTCTTCCTTTCTTTTCTCTCTTTCCGCTCCTCTTTTCTCTCTGTCTCTCTCTCTCTCTCCTTTTTCCTTTTTTCTTTTATTCCTCTCTTCTTGCGCGTGCCACGATACCGCGGAAATGCCGCGTTTCCGCCTGCGGCCTCTTCAAACTGGCGCCACAGAGAATGCGACCTATGACTCGTGATTAACTTTTACTTCCGTAACTTTGGAAACTAATAAAGAAAACTTTCAATTTGCAATTTGAAAAAAAAATATATATATATGAATTTTTGAGGAAATATTAAAAAGAATCGGAAATACATGTTTCTTATCCTGTAATAAATTAATTGTGCTATTTATTTTGACAAATCACAAATCACAAATATAATTATAAGTGCATTTAAAATATTATAAATTCTTTAATACTCTCCATAAAAAATGATATAATTCTTCTTAAATTTTATCATAATTTTTATCCGAATTTGTAATAATTTTTATTCAACTAAAATATCATATTAACTTTAAAATAAGATATGATTCTTCATATGATTTTGAATATTCACTTAATTAAACATTAATGTATTTTTTTTAATTCAAAGAAATTTCAAAAGGCGTCAAGTACATGCTTCTCGTCATATAAACATTAAAAAGACATATTTCTATTTAAAAATAAATTATAAAGAAATATTGTTTTATACAATATTTCTATTGTAATATTCATGCTTTTATGTGCGGAGTAAATAAATTATTTGCTTTTTGTATATATAATTTAATACTTAATATGAGTAAAGCATCAGAAATTATTACTTACAACTTGTCAATAATTATAAAAAAGATATGTTAAATTAAAATGCATAGTTTCAAAAGAAACATAAAAATCAATTAAATGAAATTTTTCGAAGATGGATATATTTCGGAAACTTGAATGACCTTCGACTTTTAAATAATATATGTTTTTTTTTATAATTTAATATATATTTATATTTATATTTTTCTGAATGCAATCACCCTAGATTATTACTTAATGAAGCTTTAAGTTGTTGACAGAAAGAATAAGATGATAAAAGAAACAAGAAATCAGTCTCTCTTTTAATCTTCTCTTAGTTTAATGTTAGATTAAATTAATTAAATATTAAATATTCTGATAGATGTTTCATTGAAAATTTTTTAAGTATCAAATGAACATGTTCTATTAAGATGTAGGCAAACAGAATTCCTTAAAATAAATAGGAGAGTAGAAAACGATGAATGAGAGAGAGAGAAAGAGAGAGAGAGGAGAGAAAGACTTAACTCCAAGGGGTTGATTACTTTTTGCAAAAGTAAAAAAATTACATCAGAGAATCATATTAAAAAGGATACTTCTTACAATCCAAGTAATACGCGATTATTACAATGAGATCAAATTGATGTCAAACTTGAGTAAAACTTCGTATAAAGCTTCAGTCAAGATGATATGAATTTGATCTTATCGTAATAATCACATATTACGTATTGAAAGTAATATATTGGGATTATACATATTTGTGTATAACATCTCCATTCATAGAACAGGAAGAGAAAAATTAAAAACATTTTTACCATATAATTAATTTAAATTACAAATGTCGATTAAGTTTAGAACTCATTCTTCGGCTTAGTCTAAACTAAAATATGAAAAGTTATATATATTTCGACGATTCACGAAAAAACCATGATACATAATATGGAGTAATAATCTATGAAAGACCCCAAGAATTTAGTATGCCTATTCTACGTTTGGCATACGCAAAAAGCTTATGTTTACGACTTACGTTTCTTGTAGCTCATTACGTCATATTACTATAGCTTTAGTAAGGACAACTATGGCGTCTATGGCCGCCATACCGCAACTTTATTGCATATAAATTTAACATGAGACACTATTGTTTTTTTAATAATTAAGTAAATTTCATATTTGCGTATACTATTACGAAACTATGTGCAACCTCATAGCATTTTCAACTACAGAGTTTAAAACAAAAAGATAGATTAAATAATACATAATGTCATGAACTCGAATTTAATTGAAAATATATAAAGAAAAAAGCATGGATGAAATATTAAATTATTAATGGACTTATCTAGTGGAATAATTTTTGTATCTTTCTTAAATATAATATTATGCATCGCCAATTGTTAAAATGATTACAATTTTAATTTTATCATGACTTTAATAACTAAAAATAGATCATATCATCATTATTCATTCTTGGAGTGATCGTTAAAACGTCAAAAACGTTATTAGAAACTCGCAAGCAAAAACGTTATTAGAAAGTGACAAATATGTTTAAAATATTTCTAGACCAAACGTGTGCAGATCGAGATTTAAAAACTATTGCTGCCCAGGATGGTCGAAAAAGCCGGAAACAGGCCTGTGCGTCATTCGTAAGTAAAAGCACCAATCTAATTTTACTAAAAATGTTATTTCATTAACACTTATCGATAACATATTCTATAATTGCATTAATCAATTAAAATGATGCAATAGAACGATATGCAATAGAAAAAACGCGAAAGAAAGAGAAAAAAAACTAAATTTTAATTAAAAATCTTATAGCTTACAACTTAAATTTAAAATACAAAGTGCGAAGTGTTTTACTTCTCTTTGGATTTTATGCTAAATTAAATTATTCTTGCCTACCTAAGAGAAGTGAAATCTGAAATGTATAGCATTTGTGCAACATCAAGATTGAATAAAATTGCGTTATTGCTAATAATGAAGCGATCCAGGACGCAACAACTCATATCCTTACGATCCTGATGCAATCGGACCTCCCGCGAGATATTCGCGGAATAGAAAGCGGTTATTAATAATCGGGCGAGAGGAACCACCTATCATTACCGATACTGCCCGACGATCGATAATAACGATCGATGCAATTACGTAACGGACAAATGGGCATTTATGCGACACGAACGGTCGCCTCGAATAAAACTGGTTTAATGACCTGTTATGCGCTTCCTGTTGATCGCATTGTCTGGTAATACGGTCTGCATTCCATTACAATTTCCGGGTGACATTGTTATTAATAATTAATTATTGATCTATTACGTTCGCTATCCTTCAATCAAAATTATAGTTATTACAAACTTATCATTAAAACTTATCATTGGAACATTAATGTAGGAATAGAATAAAATGAAATAGGATTATTCATCTAGATGCTACCTTTTTTTATTGAATTTAACCCCTTATAATACATAAAAACTTTCAGGCAGTGCAATGTGTAAAATTGAAATAAGATATGTCTTAAAAATGTTTCATATTTAAAAGATAAGATTAATCATCATTAATCATTTCGCCAATGATTAATGATAGATTAAGCTTGGTTTGTAATATTTTCTTTTTTAGTTTAAAATTAAAGAAGTATGGATAAATTAAGTCAAGTTATTCTAAAGTTATTTTACATTAGTAGAAATAGATATTAAAAAGTCATCTTTATAAAGTTTTTAACATCTTTAAGTCATCTTATGATCTGATTTTAAACGTTGTGTTATCTGGAATATCTTAAATTTCTGCCTTCTACGTTCGCTATGGTTAGTGAAATAATAGCTATATATTTTTATTACAAAGAAGAAGATTACGATAACACCAATGCAAGATTTAAAATATCATCGTTATTGTTTATTTTTATTTAGCTATTTGCGCAAGACGTTGCGGTTCTCTTGGAAAATGCATAAGGCCCAATATCTGTTTATGTGAAGGCGGCGTCATTGCTTCCGCCTGTGGCAATGGGCAAAGCAAAGGTATTTAATATTTTTATAAAAACCTTCTACCAGAGTTTGATCATAAATTAATATAATATAAAACAATTTTTGATTAATTATTTACTTTTGATAATTTGCACTTAAATTCAAACTTCAATAATCTTATATTGTATTATATCATCTTGTGAGTTCTAAAATTATATACGACTTTGAACGTGTTTAATTTTTCTTTTTTATATATTGAGATATAAAATGAATCAATATACATAATATAGAAATATATGTATATTAGAAAATATATATTATAGAATATATATGATATAATAGTATACATATATAATATACAGCAGAGAAAATAGATTAATGAGAGATGTGAGAGATCAGACATATTTTTCTTTCGCTTGTAGGATTTTGACAAAAGCAGTCTTAGCCTAGACTCTTTAATAAAGTCTTTAGTTTTTCAATCCTTAATCTCGCTTTATAAAGTTGTCAATAATTTTTATTAAAACTTATTGAAATCTATCGAAATCAATCGATTATTGTTGAGAGTAAAATTTGTTATTCGATAAATATATTGCCAACAGTCGTCACTCACGAGATAGGAAATGGCAGCGATCGTGGTGAGACTGGCAGATGCAGGGTTCATTGTATAAACGGAAATTGTGTGGATGGCCGATGCCAGTGTCGCAGCGGATATCAAGGAGAGTTTTGTAATGAACGTAAGTGGAATTGTAGAATTAATAATTAAAATATATTTTTGGATAATCGTATTAACGGGAAAATGAGAGTGGAGAAATAAAAATTAATTAAAAGATTATTTATAATTAGCAATATGTCACGAGCCCTGCTTGAATCAAGGAAGATGCATTGGTCCGGATCGTTGCGCTTGCATCTACGGTTACACCGGAAGACGTTGCGAAACTGATTACAGGTAAGACAGCACCACACTATCTTTGTCACTACTAGGTTATCTTTACAATATACGTTTTAGGACCGGTCCTTGTTACACAAAGGTGAAAAATGGTCAATGCTTGGCGAATCTTCAAGGAGTGGTTTGCACACGGCAGATGTGCTGTGCTACTGTGGGCAAGGGTTGGGGCCACCCCTGTGAGAGATGCCCAGCTAGATTGGATTGCGAATTAGGTTACTTAAAGACCAATCAGGGCCAATGTCTCGGTAGGTTTGTGTTAATTTCTCATTAACTTTTACTATACTATTTATATATAATTGTAGTTATATATTGAATATAGGTTAAATATGCATTAAATCATACAGAGCGCTCCATAATTGAAATTAAACATCTCCTAGCAATCGCGAATGTGTGTCGTTTTTCTCACGCACTTACTTACTCGATGAATTTTTATAAATTTTTATAAATTTTCATTAACTATTGCAACAATTGCAAAATGATATAGGATTTTTCTATTCAGTATAATCTGGCTCTACAATCTGCTTACAAGAGTTATGTCAATTATAAGACCCTTATATATTTCAATTATAAATTATATTTTATTAATTTTGAAAAGTTCATTATAAACTGCGGCGCAAAGAATATATATATTTTTTTATCTATATTGCAATTTTTATATATACTTTAAAATTATCTTTTGTGATGCTAAATATCATCTAATAACATTTATATGATAATACTTAGAAAAAGAGAATATGATTAAAATATAAAAATATAAATATATTTTATATACATATTATTTGTTTTATTTATCTGTACATGAAACAATATTTTGCTCACATGCACTTTACACACATATTTCATATATTGTATAGATTTATTATCATTAATCAAAAATGACCTGATAAAATTAAATTAAATATAATAAATAAAAGAGCTATCTTTGCATTTTTTTCAGATATCAACGAATGCGAATCGATTCCTGGGCTTTGCGAAGGTGGAAAATGCCTAAATACTCCCGGCTCATTCACTTGTGAGTGTCCTGAGGGACAAGCGAGGGATCCCGAAACCAACGAGTGTAAAGATAAGGATGAATGTCAGGAAGAAGATATTTGCGCGGATGGTCAATGCATAAATACAAATGGTGGTTATTATTGCCATTGCAATCCGGGATTTATACAGAGCCAGGATCGTAAATTCTGCATCGGTGATTATTATGATTATTATGAAGATAAAGATTGCGATCAGATGTTATAATAAAAAAATTTCAGCAAATGTGACTACTATTTCTATTAACATTATTTTCTTAAGTTGTCTTACTCTTTTATGAAATTTCTGTTCTTATTATTTTGAATTCTCTCACGATATTTCATTAATTTTTTTTATTCAATTATTGTTCTCCAGATGGCAGACAGGGATTATGTTACACAGCGGTGAACCGTAACGGACAATGCAAAAATCGACTTGCAATGCGATTGAGTAAAAAAGATTGTTGCTGTGGCAAAAATATGGGTCGAGGATGGGGCGATGAATGTTTTATCTGTCCTAATCCTGGCAGTGGTACGTACGTCTTTTCAGAAAAGACGATTCCGTGAGATAGCTATCCTATTCTGATATTTTATACATTTTTTTTAACTTTTAACAATATTCGTGATGATTTAAATTAATTTAATTATTAGTAATATAATATTAAACCAAAATTAATCATTTTTTTATCAATTCGCGTAGTTTCGAAGAACGGTTTTCGATCGGGTTCGAAAACACACAGGTAGCCTTCGGGAGCGAGTCCGCAGGACAGTTTCCCTGAGCTCGAAGCGGGTCGCGCAAATTAATTAAAAGCGAAGACATATCTATATAATTCGCACAAAAAAAAAACCGACTAAAAAGCGAACGACTACGGTGATTGGCGATTCTACAGGATCCACGTTATTACTCAATTGTAGACGATTACAACAGGCTTTGCTCGCAAACGCAGCCGATCACGGTGGTGAACGAGTGCATGCTGCGGCCGGACATCTGTGGCAATGGGAAGTGTATCGACACTAGGGAGGGCTACGAATGTGAGTGCTATCCCGGTTTCACAAGGAAGGAAAGCGGTAGATGCGTGGACGTAGACGAGTGCCAGTTGGATTATTGTCAAGGTGGAATTTGCCGCAACTATCCTGGTAGCTTCGCCTGCGATTGCCCACCTGGCTTTGTTGTTTCCGGCGAGGGCAGATACTGTACTGGTAAAAATCACTGCTCAAACAACAATTTCTTAACAAATGACATTACATACCGTAACAATGATAAAAATGATAACAGATAAGAATAATTATAATAACAGTTAATTATTAGTTGTATAGAATAATGTTCTATCAATTTTACCCATTCTCGAATAACTTCGCTATTTTAGGTAAAAAAATAAATATTATTTATAAAAATTATTGATTCGCGAGAAGAAATATAATATAGAAGCAATAATTTTTTTATAGATGGAAGAGCAATTTTGTTCTTTTTAAGAAAATGTTTTTTTATAATTAAAATTATAATTAAAATTCAAAAGAATCAAGAATAAATATCAATAATTTTATTCAATAATAAATTTTAAGCCTAACGGAAACTAGAATATGTACATTTATCCTAAAACTTATTGTTTTTTAAAATGTTTTGACTTTATTTTATTATTGACTTATTATGTAATAATACTTCGAAATATCTTTCAATCATACATTAATACAGAATTATATATGAATAATATGATTACTAATAATTACTAATAAAATATTACTAATAAAATGTTTTCACGTCAATAATTTTCTCTCTCGCTCTAAATGAGAGATTTATCGATTCTTAAGAACGTGAAAAGCAAGATCAACAAAAAATCTTTGCAGTATTTATTTATTTTGTTTACATTCAAGCTAATAAGCATAACTCATAATTTTGAATGTTTTCGATACTATCAAAATTTCTATTCTTTTCGTTAAATATGGATAAGTCTCTTATTCAGTGATCAGAAAAAGAATTATTATATGAATTTGATGATAAATGAAATTTTCATTTGAAGAACAAATGTTCTTTATTTATAGAAAAATTCAACGAAAAATTTAAGTTGATCAACGAGTGCAACAAATTAATAGAGTAATTTGTAATAGATGATATGAATAAACATTTTTCTCAGATCACGACGAATGCCAAGACACAGGTATGTGCACCAATGGACATTGCATTAACATGAACGGATCCTTTAAATGCAAATGCAACGATGGTTACACGCTATCACCAACAAGAAATACTTGCATAGGTGAGAAACATAAAGGCTAAAATGTAATAAATATTACGTTCAGACGTATTAGATTGTATATGCGTAATTTGTTTTACAAGAATTTAAAATTTTCAGAAGTAATATTTTATGTAATTTTATTGATTTCAAATTTGCTAAAATAAAACTATTAAAAATTATTAAAAAAAGGATATATTTAATAATAATATAATAATAATAATATAACATAATCTAATTAATATGATATAAGATTAATTATTAAATAAGAAGTAAAATAAGATAAGATGAGAAGTAGTTACGTGATAATTATGTTTAAATTTTCTTTTCTTTTAGACATCAATGAATGTATAGAGAATCCGAGGATTTGCCTAAATGGTCGCTGCGAGAATACGCCAGGATCTTATCACTGCATCTGTCAATCGGGCTTCACTCCTTCACGAGACAATACCTTTTGCGTAGATATGGATGAATGCTCCACCAGCGGGATGTGTGAAAATGGCAAATGCGTCAACATGGAGGGTTCCTTCAAGTGCGTTTGCGACTCTGGCTTCAGGATTGGTCCCGACCTGAGCCATTGTATTGGTATTGATCTTATAGAGCAACTGACAAGTTCACCAATCGCGAAAACAAAATTCTAAGCTTTTAAAATTCTGATTTTCAGTAATTTAATCTTTGAAAAGTTTAATTTAAAATTTAAAATCTGGAAAATTTCTTAGTAGCAAATTAATATTTCAAATATTTAAAAATATAATATTAAAGATTTAATTGATTATTTTTAATCACTTATTGTTATTTATTCTGCAAGATATCGATGAATGTGTGAATTTGCCATGCCAAAATGGACGCTGCATTAATACGCCTGGCAGTTTCCGGTGTGAGTGCCACCCAGGATTCAATCTAGGTCCTGATGGAAGATCCTGTCTAGGTCCGTACCAAAATCATTTTTTATCCCTAATATATATATATATATATATATATATATATATAATAAATAAAAGGCAGAATTATCAAAGATTCAAGATTGAATCAAACATTTTTCTTGATAATAAAATTTCGTAAAATTTAAATTTATCTCACCCTGATGTCAAAATAACGACAAATAACGTCAGTTTGCTGCCTGGGTATTATTTTTCTATAAAAATCTTTCGTCTATGATGCATTTTCAATAACTTTTGTTTATTAAGAATTGTTTTAAATGTTTTTTAAAAGATCAATATCAATTTTACCAAGAAAAAAATGATAAAATCACAACTTTGAATAGAATATTTTTGTCAATCTTTTACACAATTAATGTTTCTTGATAATTTAACATCTAATTGCTTAACCAAAAAATTGAATTTCTGTCGGATCAATCTTCGCTGGTCAGATACGAGAAGAGATCTGTGCTATTCGCAGTACAGAGACGGCCAATGCTCTAATCCGACATCCACTGCCGTAACAAAATCCAGTTGTTGTTGCTGCACGGTGATCCTGGGCCAACCAATGGGCTGGGGTAGCAGTTGCCAGCCTTGCCCGCTTCCGGACACTTCAGAATTTGAAGCCTTATGTCCGCATGGTGCTGGAATGACCTACAATGGCGATGGTAAAAGCAGTTACAAATATGTCACCTGGAAATTCAAAATTCTCAAACTCGCAAGGACATTAATTTTTATAAAACGTCATATCACGAATCATTTTTCATAATTTCAAAATTTACAAAGAATTTTATAAATTTTTGAAATATTAATGTCCTAAAATTTAAAATTTATAATATTTTCCTTGTTTTTAATTTAACGATTATGAATTATTAATAATTAATTATTAATTATGAATTATTTTAACATTGCCATCATAGACATCAATGAGTGCGCTCAAAATCCCAACATTTGCATCAATGGCGCATGCGAGAATCTTATGGGAACATACCGATGTATTTGCGATAATGGGTATGAAGTGGATGCGACTGGAAAAATATGCAGTGATATCAATGAGTGTGAACTGGAGGATTCTTTGTGCAGCGGCGGACAGTGTCGAAATACTCCTGGTAGTTTTCAAGTAAGCAAATTATTTATTTATTTTTGATAAAATAAAAAAGAGATAAAAAAATATTTACGATTTGATTTCAGAAGCCAAACTAATTCATTCCGAAATAAAAAATGGAAAAGATTGATGAAGTTGTAAACTAATTAGAAAAAAATTTATAAAAATTGGAATTGATCAATTTAGCTTTTGAAAGATTCTTAAAACTTGTAAAAAATACCAGAAAGTAAGAGTATCTGTCCAATATGTCCAATAATCATGTAAAAGTGTAAAATAATTCTAGAAATAATGTCACTGCTCAATTATCAGAAACAACTAAATCTAGTGATCTCTGATCCTAAATCTAGTGATGATTTCTGATGGCTAAGCAATGTATCATTATTTCAAGAATTATTTTACACTTTTATATAATTTATATGATTTGGACAGATATCTTACTTTCTGGTATTTTTTACAAGTTTTAAGAATCTTGATAAAATATCATATTCTTAAAATTTGTTTTTAAGGGAAAAGTACAAAATAAAGCTAATGACGCAAGAAACTTTTTACATGTCATTTCTCGTCTTTGACGTCATAATTTAATATGACTGCAGCGAGAGAACCGAGCCTTAATAATAATTATGTAATTTTGATTTTTTTCTTATATATCAAAATTTTTCCTGATATATTCTATATGTTTAATTGATCTGAAGTATAAGTGTCACAGATTATATAATGTTGTTTTATTCGCAGTGCATTTGTTCGACGGGCATGAGGTACAATACGCAAAATCAAATGTGCGAAGACGTGGATGAATGTGAAGAGTTAGGACCAGATGTATGTTTCAACGGCATTTGCATCAACACTCCAGGAGCCTACGAATGCGAGTGTTCTCCGGGATATATTCTCGATAATACTGGCCATATTTGCATGGGTATGAATAATTCATAACTTTCACATAATAACAGGATAAGCAATGTAAATAAATATAAACGAGGTTTTAATTTTTTGATTACAGATAATCGGAAGGGTTCCTGCTGGACTAAGATGATAGACGGTCGTTGTGAGAACAATTTGCCAAAAGTAACTCTGCGTTCAGAGTGCTGCTGCTCGGTCGGGGTAGCTTGGGGTAGTCCCTGCGAAATCTGCGATCACTCTCTCTGCGAATGCTCGAAGGGCTATGCGAAAGTGGACGGCAAGGGCTGTGCGGACATCAACGAATGCGAACTCAACAGTGGGATCTGCAAAGGCGGCGGCACTTGTGTTAATACTGACGCCTCGTATCGTTGCGAATGTCCTCCTGGTCTTACCTTGGATGCGACGCGTAAGCCAATAACTGTCAAACTGTCACAGATGTCTCTTTGTTTTTTTTATTAAAAAAAAATTATTAAAAAAATAAATCTTATCTCTAAAACTTACACAGCTCGGATGACTTTGACTTTGACATATGTTGTCCCCGAGTAACTTGTCTTAACAACTAAGTGGCGGTCTCTCATAGTTTCTGAGATTTATTTAAAGTTAAAAATGTATAATTATAAAATTAGAAACTAGAATTATAAAATTAAGAATTGTAGAACGTTTTTAAATGTTGGTTTCTTATAGTACACACGGTTTCTTATACGTACATAGTTACGTGGTACATCTTATAGTACATAGTTTCTCATACACTTTCTTTACACACTGTATTATATTGAAAGATAATGAAAACAAGTATTTATGTTTCTTTGTTATGTTTGTTACTCAGTACGCACTCAAAATGCTTACATATTCAGTACACATCAGTACAATTGTACTGATCCATATGGAACTTTGCTTCATGTTAAAAAGTGTATGCGTGGAGGCAGTATGTCAAGATCAAAGATCATCTGAGCAGTATAAGTTTTAGTAAAGATTTACCACATTTTTTTCTAAATGTTTTAATTGCAGACACTACTTGCATCGACACCAGACAAGAAACATGTTTTTTGGATTATCGCCACGGCCAATGTATCAGTCCTATAGAGGGCCACTTTTCTAAGAGTTTATGTTGCTGTTCTGTGGGTCGTGCTTGGGGCAGCGACAAGTGCGAGCAGTGTCCCAAACTGGGTACACAGGCCCATGCTGAGCTATGCCCACGTGGAGACGGCTTTACCGAACGTCAGGATATCAATGAATGCGTCGAGTTCCCCGGAATGTGTTTGAATGGCAGATGCAAGAACACAATTGGCAGCTACAGTTGCAGATGCAATCAGGGTTTTGCACTCGATGAAAATAATGTCAAGTGCAACGGTAAGTAGTTTTTTAAAAAATCTCAAAGTTCAGAATTTGAAAAGATTGCGTTGTAAAAAATAATTTTTTCTAAATCTTAAAGTTTATAACAACTTATAAATATAATATAAAAATTACAAAAATAATTTTTACACTAATAAATTCTAAACTGGATATCTTTTTAAAATTTTATATATACGAGAGTAGTCTGATAAGTCTGAAAAGTTTTGAGCCTTAACATGAAGATGACGTTACTTGTCAAAACCATTCTAGTATTACAATAGTATATGCTTTGAAAGACTTTTGTGAAAATTTCAGCCATTTTGGACGCTCAGTTGTTGTTTGACAGTCGTTTTTGTGTCGATGTCAGTGTTTTTGTAAAAATGGAAAAAATTGAATATCGTGCCGTGATTAAATTCTTGAACATTTGAAAGGCAATACGCCTACGCAAATTAAAATCGAGTTGAACGCTGTTTACGGGGACTCTGCCCCATCATTTGCCACCGTAAAAAGATGAGCAGCTGAATTTAAACCAGTGGTCGTACCAGCTTGGCTGATGATGAACGTTCGGGACGGCCAAAAACTGCTGACCACCGCTGATAACATCGAAAATGTTCACCAAATGATGCTGGACGACCGTCGAATCAAAGTTAGAGAGATAGCAAAGGCTATGGGCATATCGAAAGAACGCGTTTGTCATATATTGACTGAAGAATTGGATATGCGCAAGTTATTCGCACGTTGGGTGCCGCGCTTGCTCACTTTGGACCAAAAACAAATTCGAATGAACATTTCCAAGGCCCTGTTGAAGCGGTTCAAGCGAAACGAGTCAGATTTTTTGCGTCGATTCATAACTGTAGATAAAACTTGGATCCACCACTACACTCCAGAGATAAAAGAACAATCAAAACAATGAACTGCAAAGGGTGAACCTGCTCCGAAAAAAATAAAGATGGCTCCATCAGCTGGGAAGGTAATGACGACTGTTTTTTGGGATATTCACGGAATTGTGTGTATCGACTATCTTGAAAAAGATAAAACAATAACGGGAGCGTATTAAGCATCATTACTTGATAAGCTGAAGGCAGAAATTGCAAAAAAACGGCCGCATTTGAAGAAGAAGAAAGTACTGTTCCATCAAGACAACGCACCTGCTCACACTTCGGCGATCGCCATGGCCAAAATTCACGAACTGCACTTCGAATCGGTTGACCACCCACCGTATTCACCAGATCTGGCCCCCAGCGACTTTTTCCTGTTTCCTAAGCTTAAAGTTTCGCTTGGAGGACAGAGATTTTCATCGAACGAAGAGGTCATCGCATATGCAAACGCCTATTTTGCGGAGCAAGACGCCAACTACTATTTGGAGAGGTTAAAGAGGTTAGAATATCGATGAGAAAAGTGTATCGACTTAAAAGAAGATTATGTTGAAAAATAAAACTATATTTGACCGAAAAAATACTTGTTTCTATGTTAGACTCAAAACTTTTCAGACTACCCTCGTTTATATTTATATATATATAAATATATATATAAAAGGGAGTTGTGACGTGTATTCGTGATTGCCTGTCACAAGGGG